CTGCATAACATACTCGGGTAGTCATTTCGAAATGTTTTACGAAATTAATTGCTAAAAATGTGCGCAAAATATATATGTACTAAAATATTTGATAACATTTTGCATCGTCTTGAAACGGGTGAATATATTATATAGAGAATTATATATGGCTTTTCATCAAGTTATAAAAACTGAATTTATATTGTGGTAGGGCCATTTATCTAGAAACACGACGGTACATAATTAACTTGGCTACATCATTTGAAAAATCGATTAGAAAAAATATGTCTTTTTATGTATGCAAGCTTTAAGGGAAACTACACACTTTAGTTGGTTATTTGCCATTAGGACTTCAACTACATTTTACGAAACGAAAAGTATCGCTATACACATCGATTAATTGACATTTTCGTTAACTTTTGTTACGAGAGTAACAATAACAAACCAAATAGATCGCCCTTTAATGTATCGAATATTTCAGCTCAGAGCCACCACCGCCTGTGCACGGATGTCAACTTAGGGAATTTTCTTCTTAAATTTAGGAAGAAAAAATTTACAATGCGTTTTTTAAGAGGTTAATTCACACGAAGTTTTGGTTAGAATTTGGTGAATTTTAGTGGGCTTTTGTATTGCTTTAAGAGTATTTTGTTTGAACAGTTGGCAACACCACCTGCGGATGAGCAGACCTCGTAGCCTTGTGGCAGAGCCGCATATAGTTGAGATTAAGCAAATCGGACCCGGCCCCAGCGTTCGGGATTTATATATTCGGCGGACAACGAAATAAGCGCCTCGCTTGCATGTTCAAAATGAAACTTATACAAGCGTAACAGTCGTTGTTCTGTACAGGCATTGACATTGAAATATATTAACTATATGTATTCGTGGTACGTTTCTCATAGCGACCGTGATTGATTGGCTCAATTGCTGTACACTTTTTCCTGCCGCTTGCCTCTCGCTGCTTCTCGGTTCGATTAGATATCAACTGTTTCGCACTTATTGTTTGTCTTTGTGTAATTTGCAATAGGAATGTATGTACCTATATCGTCACACGGTATGACGTTGTCTATGGTATATTTCAACAATCTACTATAAGTGCTCGCTTTAAAGTGAAAATAAAACGTTTACATAAAATATGGATATAACGATCTGGTAAACTCCAAAACTCTAATAATGGGGATAACAAGTGTGTTCAACTTGGATGTAGTCAAAATCCGCTCGAAAATTAAAACATCCAGCGTAAGTTTCTTCGCAGAATCGCCAGTAATAGTTATATAGTAATTTTTTTTATGTGAAAAGTTGCTAAACGAGCAGACGGTTTACCTGATGGTGTGTGAATACCGCCGCCCATGCACATCTGCTACACCCGAGGGTTACAGATGCGTTGACAACCTTTTGAAAATTGGGCTCCGGCTACCTCACTCACCAGACGAAACGCGAAAGTATTTGTCATACTTCCACTTTAAGCTGGTCTTCTGTGAGGTCGTGGTACTTACCCGGACAGGCCTGCCCATTCGTGCAACAGCCGAGGCTGCTGCGTGGCCCTACCACCGTATACTCACGATTTTTATAGAAACCGCAACATTGCGCGTAATAGGGAGATGGCCATTAAACGCACCATTCGTGTAGTAAACCTAACCTAACAGTTAAACTTACATAGAGCAGTAATCTTCGGAATCTTACGAAATAGTAACAGCCTATAAATGTCCCACTGCTAGGCAAAGGCCTCATTTGTAAGGAGGGTCTCAGGGCATAGTCCACCACCATTCTTATTACTATTTCAAACAAATAAAAAATATTTCGACGATACGTGAAGTCAACCAATACGCAGTGGGGTCGCCTAGGACTATTGCCTAATACCCTTAGATAGACGAGACCTTTGATCAACCGTACAGGTATGTACAGGAAGTCATTTTACTTTTTAATGTAATGCATTTAAATTAACGGTCAGCTTAGCCGTATTCCGTAAAGATTCGACGTCACTAGATATCGGCCAGGGTATATCCAGAAAACAGGCCATAAAATGCCGCATCCGAGCAAAACCCGATGCGTTGAAATGCAAGCTTATAAATGAAAAGTATAAAAAGTAAATAAGTAAAAAAAAAAACAAATAAAATATAAAGGCGACATTTTAAGTGCCTTCTTAAAAACCGTGAGTACATTACATTTGAAAATCTAGCACATTCCAATGCAACTCACGACGGCAAACGTAAACGATGTCATCACGCCGGTGGGAATTGAAAATAGCCGTTTCTTTTTCCACCGTGCAAGTGTTTCGAGTAGTCTGAAATAGCCTTATCTCCACAATGCAATGCCAATCTGCTGCCAAAAGCGGCCCTGTACGTATATACGAGACAATGAACGAAAATAAACGCATACCGCTACCTTTGTATGCATTGTATTGTATTTTTGACTACATATAGCAAGCGATATATCGCTTCTTATCGATATATATATATATAACTACACACATACACAGATGCACAGTAACAAACTCCGTCGTGGACTTAATGCAATGTTCAACAAAGACCCAGTAGTCCCATAACAAGTCTTAACGAATCTACTATGAGTCACAATTACTTGTTACATGTGTGATACTAATACACTGCCCTCCGCGACGGAGCCAACAACTTGGCTACTGCGCCGCCGAGTTTATTGCATGACAAGCTCCGAAACTCGGCTACAGAATAAATTCAAAATACGGACCTGGTGTGACCAGGGCCGAAAATCGAACACCGTGTGTTTACTTTAATACTACCCTAATAACTAATAGTGCTATCTCCCTCGCGGGCGATCTATGAACCTACATACCGATAAAACAAATATATTTGGTAAATACCACCTCGATCGTCAGTCGGTTAGAAGTCACGCGGTTACTAACAGGCACCAAACATTGAATACAACTTATAAAACTTTGTGAACTTATTTGTCCGCTTGTGACAGGCGACACTGCACCGAAACAATACAATGCACACATATACAGATTATCATATGCACAGCAAACGCTGAAACGCCACTAGAATTAAGTGTACATGAAATATATTTAACAGGAGTAATGCCTAATTATCTGCCAATCATCTAGCCTGAAGTATTTTAGAGCGACATTCGTATGATTGACACGTCAATTGGCGCGCTTTTGTTAAAAGGTCTTTTTACGAGTAAATAATCTGTTTATCATTGAACTTAAATGAATACACTCATGTCAGCTAACGACAGTGGACTGTCCGAGGTAGATAATTAAGTAAATTACGGGCGAGAAGAGAATAGAAGTATAACCAAACACCAATAACTTGATCGCGCCCAGTCGCTTTAACCACTAAGCTAAACGGCCGATTGCCATACCGAGCAAAATCTCAAGGCCATTTTATTTACATTGTTTTTTCCCATTTTAAGCAATGCTTTAACCACTAAGCTAAACGGCCGATTGCCATACCGAGCAAAATCTCAAGGCCATTTTATTTAAATTGTTTGTTCCCATTTTAAGCAATGCTTTAACCACTAAGCTAAACGGCCGATTGCCATACCGAGTAAAATCTCAAGGCCATTTTATTTACATTTTATTTACATTGGTTTTTTCCCATTTTAAGCAATGCTTTAACCACTAAGCTAAACGGCCGATTGCCACACCTAGCAAAATCTCAAGGCTATTTTATTTACATTGTTTTTTTCCCATTTTAAGCAGTGCTTTAACCACTAAGCTAAACGGCCGATTGCCACACCGAGCAAAATCTCAAGGCTATTTTATTTACATTGTTTTTTTTTCCCATTTTAAGCAATGCTTTAACCACTAAGCTAAACGGCCGATTGCCATACCGAGCAAAATCTCAAGGCCATTTTATTTACATTGTTTTTTCCCATTTTAAGCAGTGCTTTAACCACTAAGCTAAACGGCCGATTGCCACACCGAGCAAAATCTCAAGGCTATTTTATTTACATTATTTTTTTCCCATTTTTAAGCAATGCTTTAACCACTAAGCTAAACGGCCGATTGCCATACCGAGCAAAATCTCAAGGCCATTTTATTTACATTGTTTTTTTCCCATTTTAAGCAGTGCTTTAACCACTAAGCTAAACGGCCGATTGCCACACCGAGCAAAATCTCAAGGCTATTTTATTTACATTGTTTTTTTCCCATTTTAAGCAGTGCTTTAACCACTAAGCTAAACGGCCGATTGCCACACCGAGCAAAATCTCAAGGCTATTTTATTTACATTGTTTTTTTCCCATTTTAAGCAGTGCTTTAACCACTAAGCTAAACGGCCGATTGCCACACCGAGCAAAATCTCAAGGCTATTTTATTTACATTGTCTTTTTCCCATTTTAAGCAATGCTTTAACCACTAAGCTAAACGGCCGATTGCCATACCGAGCAAAATCTCAAGGCCATTTTATTTACATGGTTTGTTTTTTTCCCATTTTAAGCAATGCTTGGCGCATATATTATTGTTATGTCTTTTATAGTCCACAAATGTAGTTTTAAAAAGAGAATTAAAAAGAGCGTTGTCGCCATTGCTATTTAAAAATTAAATAATGCTAATCTCTGGAATTAAATGAATCATTCAAATTCGTAGAAACGATAGCGGCGTACTAATTTACCCCTATAGTGGCGTATCAACTCACACCTACAGCGGTGTACTAACTTCCCATACAGCGGCGTACCAACGTAAACCTATAGTGGCTTAAAAACTTACCCCTGTAGGGCAGTAACAAATTACACCTACAGCGGCATACTAACTTCCCCTATACCGGCGTACCAACTTACCCATATAGCGCCGTAACAACGTAAACCTATAGTGGCGTACAAACTTACCCCTATAGGGCAGTACAAACTTACACCTAAAGCCGCGTACTACCTTCCCCTATACAGGCGTACCAACTTACCCCTATACCGGCGAAACACCGTAAACCTATATTTACGTACCAACTTACCGCTACAGCGGCGTACCGATTTATCCACATAGCGACGTACCGGCATACACCGACGGCGGCGTACCAACTTGCCCCTAATGGCGGCGGTGAACTCACCCCTATAGCGCCGTTGTTGCCCAGGAAGCGCTTCTGTGTGTTGTCCACTTGGCACGCGAGCGAGTTGAGCAGGTAGATGGCGATGCGCTGCACGAAGCCCTCCTGGTTCACGTCGGAGACCCCGTTCAGCAGGATCTGCACCACGCGCTCGTACTCGAACAGCTGGTGAATGCAACGCACGTACAGCTACGGTCCAGGTACAAGGACAGGTGATAAGGAAAGCACCCGGGGGGAGGGGGAGGTTTGAATCTGGAGGGGATGGCAGGGAAGAGGGGGGGACATAGGCGGGGGAGCACAGGTTGACAGGTGAACCAGGTGGAACCGATTTGTATTGCAGAGAATCGGAAGGAGATGATGCACATATTGGATGGAGAAACAGCCCTTCTGTCGGCAGCATGAAATTATATCCATTATAATTTTTGTCTGGTAACTAAATATATTGGTGAGTGAGTGTTTGGATGCAACTGAATTGTGAAAATGTTGATTGTTAAAGCACATTATTTTTACCACTTATCCAAATCTAATCAACCAATACATTGGTTATTTAAAGTTGAATATCAAAATATATTAAAATTTCTTTCATTAAAATTTTATACCAGGTACTGATTGATAACTAACCACATCTACAGGAATCTTGAACTGACAAAGTGTGAGGCAGCCATTCCTCATCATAGTGTCATCTCCAACATGCGCCTCCATGCCATCGAGCAAAGCTGTTATTATGCGACGTTTCAATTTTATACCAATATGATCCTTTTCCTTTCCCTTAACAATATAAAAGAGGGTAGCACTGAAAAAAATTATGAATAATTTAATACAAAGCGTGAATACACAAAAAAAATATATCCATTCATTGAATGAATATTTCAGGTGTAGGTTATAATTTATTAACAACTTGTTACTACTTGAAAATCATTGAAATGATAATAAATCTCAGCCACCTACCTGCCAGATATTTGGATATGTTTTTCAGATACATGTTGATCCATTGCATCTAGCACAACAGTCAGTGCTCTTCCAATATAAGCATTGTTTTCATAACGGAACAAATAGTAAAGGTCATTGAGAACACGGGTCAGCATTGCCGGGCGTTCCATGTATGCTAATGCTGCTGTGAGGATTTGCTCCTCATTACCATCTCCAGAAATCTGACAAATAATAATAAATTAATACAATTAATACTATATTAAAAATTTTATAATTATATGTGGACATATAAATAGATAGACATTAAAGTATTGATATATTTTGTTGCTCAATAAAATAAAATAAAACAAATTTTGATTTAAGAATATGAAAAAGTAACAAAAATAAAATGAAATTAAAATAATTGGTTACTCTCAAAATAAATTCTAATTAAAGAATAAAACATTAAATACCAGAAATTCATTTGGGCAATAATATATGAGAGCTTACCACTTTAGCTGGAATATCATGTCTCTTGCAAGCCCCATGATGTGTACCATATAAACCAAGAAACTCCAACGGATTGTTTACACGGCTCACAAGCCCAGGTATGTCGCATCTTACATGTACTTCAGGTATTTGATCAGAAGTACCTTCTTTAACAACAGCAACAGCCGCCGCTCCCGAACCAGCTAAATTGGTACCAGATATGTCCAGTGACTCAAGGTGCGGCAAACTAGTCACCAATGTCGTTAGCACTTCATTTGGGTTGTAATATTTTCCATGGCGTTCATTTGAGTGTGACAAGTCTAAGTGTTGGAGGGAGTGTAGTGTTGTTATCCAGTCAATTATTTCCTTGGACCACAGAACATTATACAAAACCAGTGATCGTAAGTTTTTTAACTCATATAAAGCACATGTTGATACAGTGGATGTGAATTCAGACAGGTCTAAATGCGTTAAGTTGTTCAATGGTTTCAACAGTAGCAATGGGAATATGGTAAGACCACGGCATTGGATAGTTAGCCGTCTTAGGTGTGGTGCGTCAATGATATGTCCTCTCTGTCGCAGATGTGCTTCATCCTGGGAAAGGGCATAATTGAGCGGTCCAAATTTCAGGGATATCAATTTCTCACTGTTTATGTTTATTATGTCCAAGGAAGCTTGAGAGAGGTATTCGCATTGGACCAATTCAAGTCTGTAAGGCTTGTGTACCATGAAACATCTAAGGCCCTCATCTGTTATGCGGGAATTCCGTAGCCTTACGTTATCGAGTCTGGTCCTGGTGCAATCACGGAATATATTCGCAATATTATCATTGATTCTATTATTCTTCTTTTGAAAAGTTTGAATGAATTTTTCACACAATTCGGCGGGCAGTATTATATCATCCTTGAGCTTGCGCCAGCGGCTGGTGGGATCTAACGTCGTTATTGTGTTGAGATTTGCCACAACATATTCCATACATATATCCAAGAGTGGATCTGGTGAGTTGTCGTACAGCGAGAACACTTCTTGGTCGGACGTCATTTTGATTGCTGTAGGTGGTGATTTTCTTTTTTAGATTGTTGAAAAATTAAACATGTGGCACCATTTCACTGAATTAATCTCGAAAATCAAGTAAAATCGTTGAAACAGTCATTTTACGCATTTTCCAATATGGTTTGTTAGTTGCTAATATGGCCTAATAATAATAAAGTAATAAAATATAAACGAAATACGGAAGCAATTCGCACAACGCAACTAGATTTAGACGTTTTAATTTTGAATATGGCAACAAGATCAAAAAATTGCTGAATAATATTATGTAGATGTTAATAGATATTAAACATTACTAAATTTATGAATCAATTAAGAAATTTTTCTTAAATCAGTTTAAATAATCAATAAAATACAGATTTTTTACCACTATTAAAATAATGCGATAACTATGAAAAAACTCTTTTATGCTTCTCATGAAACAATGTAATTATCTGTATTAAAAAAAATGTGATATTTTCTAGATTAATTTTTTTTTATTTTTGCACAACAGGTGTAATTGATTAACACAAGATAAATTTGTTAAAAAGTATTATTTTATACCGTAAGTTTGGTTTGATGATGAAAATAAAATATAGCAATGAAGTTGCTTTATTGTTACAATTTTATATTATTTATTAAATTCAGCATTTTTATCTGTTGACATAACTATTTTAATTGATTTTGCGTTACAAACTACGTCTGTTTATATTTACTGACTCATGAACGTCGATCTAATGCTTTTTTTAAAAAACGAAAAGTTTTGCTTCTATTGAAATAAAACGAAAAATAATAAATAATTCACTATTAAAACATATATGAAGTTCACAAGCTAGAAACGGATTAATTTATAAGGTAGTTCTCACTTTAGAGTCTATATAAGAACCGTAGTTTAGATTTTACACTTAAAACATAACTGAATTTATTTTGGCTATCTCACGAAAAAGACTTGTTACGGAGATATGCGCGGACTGCCCGTTAAGCTCCGACTAACCGTTTTCCCGGGTAGCCTGGCTTTTTATATTGCGGATTGTTACTTCTACACTGGTAACACACACCTAAAACACTCCATGTCAGTACCTATGTAAACTAAAATCAATAATTGATACCATACTCGTCTTAGAGATCTTAATACTTTTTATTTGAAAAGTTTTTAAGTTATTATTTATTAGATTTATTTTTATTTAATGTAATCAGTTTTAGTATTAACTAATATTTAACTACGTAAAAAATAACACGTAGTAATTTGATAAGCAAAAATTCTTAAACTCCAAATATTATAATTATGATATTTATATTAGCGACCCGCCCCGGCTTCGCTGTATGTATGATGGATGCAATGTATTATACATATAAACCTTCCTCTTGAATCACTCTATATATTAAAAAAACCAGCATCAAGATCCGTTGCGTAATTTTAAAGATCTAGGCAATACATAGGGACAGGCAGACAGCGGAACGACTTTGTTTTATACTATGTAGTGATTTACATTTTAATAATTTCTTTATTAGAAAAAGTAAGAGATTTTATTTAATGTAGTAATTAATTAACGATTTGTTTTAAGGACGGCTTCGGATTAATACTTAAAGAACCAAGGGGTGTAGGTGCTTCTATAAAAGCAGCGCACACAGGCAAGATCTCCGTTTCAACACGCGATACAACATGATAGTTTCTGCGCAAGTGTTGCTGTTACGAATACAGATACATTATTAATACATATTTGGCATTTCATCGTACATGTAGGAGGAGCAGAAGAGCAGAGATTATAGACTATTTTTACTTAAGGGGTAAATGGGGGATAATTGAAGTTGATCAATTAATCTCAATCTTTTTAATATGATCAAGCATCGGTTCCGATATTTTATCGAAATAATCTTAATAAAATACAGCTATGATTTCCCGTTAATTTTGAGCCAAGATCAAAATTAAATATATTAATATATATTTATTAATAATCCAAAGCTATTCCGGTAAAATTCAGCACAATTGAAACCATCACTATTTACACTCAACCACGCACTCGTTACTAGTTAATTGTAGAAGTTGTAGTTCAAATGTTTCTATAAACGTACTTTAGTTTTTTTAAATAAAAAGTCGGACAGGCTAAATATAATGATTTAAATGAAATTCGAACAGTGTGGGTGCCCTTTAAAATTAAATTTAATTCTCTTCGAATGTACGAACTATGATATATTATGAAGGTACTTTAGTTCAGCCTTCTTAATACATCACAAAAGATATCAGTTATCGAACTCGTCGAACACAAAGGAAAATCCCATTATGTAGGACTTCGTTGTATGAGAAATCGGGACTCCTCGAAAATTAAATTCCAAATGAATTCTTTGCCGTGACGTATCTGTCGTATCTTTGATGATAACAAAGAATGATATTATATACCACAATGATTGTGATGATTATGATTGTCCGTTTGTTCGTCGGGGCTAAAAATTGTATCAGTTTAACTCACAACGATTTGGATTATTTAATTAGTACGACATTCATAAGTAGACGCGACATTGTGTCGCTTAACTATCTGGTTGGGCGGACGTTTGAATTTACGCTGTTCCCGCACCACGACTCTTATTATTATATCACAGTTTGCCTCTGAGATAGAAAGACACGATTGCGTAATTATTGTACAATATTAAGTTCACAATCGTGTGTTCGAATTCGCGGGTAGTCGCTGGTATCTAATAATAAAAACTGTACTATAGCTGGGCTCACTGATCGGATTACTCCGTGGCGCAGTTGCCACGGTATTGGCTTTGGCGTCGAGGGGACTATTTGTGAGACCCACAGATAGTTGTTTCGCATCTGGGTGTTTGTCCGCGTGAAATTTATGTTTGTAAAACGTCCTTACAACACAGGATAATGTTATTCTAAAGTAAGGACAATGATTTTATTTAAAAAAAAATTAAATTTAAAAAAAATTATTAATTCAAAATATTTTTACAAACGAGTCGGATTTATTATTATTTCATTTAATTGATTTTTGTGCAATAAATACATACTGTAATCTAGGCAACAAACTCGTAAATGCATCAATCCATAGTCTACCCACACTTTTGAAGTGATTGAACTTAGGTACATGGAAAAGTACCACTCATAGAATGGGACATTGCCTCAATTGCCGTTTTGAAATTATTCCTGACGCACTAGGCTCCAGATATATGCGCATGTTGAATTTTAATGTATGCTTTTAGACACGTATTCAGTAACAAGACACTGGTTCAAAGAAGTTTCTTTGTTAATAACCAGCAGTCTGTTGAAGTCAAATGCTAACATTATGACAGTTCCGTAAAATAGATGTTTATTAGCCTATCAACCAATATCATCAACTTAACCTTATCTAAAACTTTACTTTCTATTATCTCATCTCCTACTTTCCACGTAGGGAAACAGAAGTATGTCTATACTCTGTGAAGAAAGCGCGAGCAACATTTAAAATGTGAATATTTGTTGTTAAATCAATCGAGAATCAAATATGAGACGGGAAGGGCCGACGATTTCACGGTGCGAAATCTTTACATTTATCTCTTCGTACATTTTAGCAATACGTTGCGTCGTCAATTGTGCATATTTTACAATATAAAACACATTATGAAGAACATTTGACGATGAATATTTGTAAGGAGAGAATGAAAGTGGCCCTAAAAATGCCAGTCAACGCTAACATGAAATTAAATGAAGAAAATCATTTATCTACAAAAAAATATTTTATCTTGAATACAGAAACTAGCACTATAGGTAATTCTAAAAAATATGTATTAATGTGTAATTTACTATCGAAAAAATAAAATTAACAAACAAATTAAAAACTATCTCATGCAATTTTACATAGGACGAAAATAATTATCGTTGCCTCTTATTAGAGGCCAGAACACAGGGTACAGTATACTGTACTGGCGAATTAACGTATCTTTCATAACTATTTACTTCATTATGTATTCGGGAAATTTCTGGTAAAGTTAAAGCAATTCGGGCTAAATTATGAAAAGAAAGTATTTGTACACAAATTATCAAACATACACTTAAATTGTATACCTAAAAAAGTAAAGTATTGTTTTAAATCTTAAGTATTGTATTATTTCATTATTGTATGGTGTATTGTATTAATACAAAGGCGAGAGAGGACTTATTTGGTTAGTGATATTAACGTGAGATAAGCAAATACGTACAGTACCTACTGTATCTAAAAACCAAAATGTTACTTTGGTTCCTGAAAATAGGTTGATATATAAATTCCTAAGGCGCAGGAAATATTAAATCAAGAAAACAAAACGATGCACCTCTGGCCAAAGCGGTACATGGATATTTTACATAAGATAGATGAGTTGATATTGAAGGGTATCCTGAGACCTAGATATATAACTGAGATTGCAATGGGTTCCATCGCGCGTTGGTTAACGGGAATGGAAAAGGCTGACGAACTAGCGAAGTTTGCAGTTAAATATGGAAATAAACCCAAATTTTACTCCAGACCATACAAAATTTTTGCCTAAATTCAAAAAAGTTTGCTATGATCTTTCGAAAGAATATTTTGATAAACGGTCTTTAGATAAGGGTACATGGTATGAAATAATTCGTTCGTAAATACTAATTTGTGTAGGAAACTAGTATGTACAGCTCTTAGACTCAGATCTGGACACATTCCATGTAACAAATTTCCCTTCTTGAAGAAAACTAATTAACCAAATAGCGAGGAATGTGGAGTGATTGAAGACCTTCATGGACTGTTGATGGAATGTGTTAGAAATGAGTCCAACAGGAATAACTTGTTAACAGACATGAACTGAAGCTGAATAATGTAGTTCTTTTCTATTATTTGTTATGCCACCCAAATACTGAAAATGCAAAATTACTGTATAAATTTATGGCTAAAAGTAAAGTAACAGTCTATACATGTCCCACTGCTGGGCAAAGGCCTCCTCTATACAGAGGGTATCAGGGCATAGTCCACCACGCGGCCCCACTGCGGATTGGCGGACTTCACATATCTTCGAAATATATATATTTTTTGTTATTATTTTGAAAATATGCAGGTTTCCTCACGATGTTTTCCTTCACCACGGAGCACGTGATAAGTCAGCACTTAAAGTTAAAAACTTCATTGGTGCCAGCACCGGGGATCGAACTCAAGTTGCTCGAGTATATTGAATTAAAGGCGAGCGGCCGGACACTGAGCTATCACGGCTCTCTTTAAATTTATCTTTGAATTTATGGCTAAATCTTTGAAATAAGTATTAGTAACAGACTGACATTCAGACTACGCAAAAGTCCTTAAAAATAAAGAATTAAAAAAAACCAAATTTAAAAGTTAATATTTCCGTCAGATATACTTATATCTTTTTATTTAATAGTTTTTAGGTAAGTGTCTATGGGCGGTGGTTATCACATCTGCAACACCGTGGCCTTTCAATAAGGTAAGCCCTCGTTACTGCACTCATCGGCCATAATGCAGAAGTATACTTCAACTTTACGCCAGTCTTGTGGTTTCTCGGTGTCTTCCACTGCCCATCCGTGCAATAGCCAAGACTGCTGCGTGTCCCTACTACTTTATGGAACAGCGAAGACTGCTGAAAAAGTACAATATCAGCTATCTGTTATTAAAAGTCCAAATCGGTTCAGCCGTTTCAGAGATTAGCCGGAACAAACAGACAGACAGACAGACAAAAATTGTAAAAAATGTTGTTTTGGTATAAGTACCGTGTATACATCCATTTGTAAATGCATGTACCGTGTATACATGCATTTAGTAATAAGTTATTTTAATATTACAAACAGAAACTCCAATTTTATTTATCTGTATGTATAGAAGATAAAAAAATGTTTGCACTTCCATGATAATAGATGGCGTTAGCAGTCGGCGAAGACAACCACTCGATTTCTGTAGATTACATTTTGGAGAATGTTAACAGAAATTGTATAATTTGATTCCTCAACAGTATTAATCCATCAGTAAGACTACCTTCGCCTTTTACAATGGGTTTTAAAAATAAGTGGGACAATTTTCCATTGTCAATTTTCTGTTCGAGTACCTACTTATATTGTGAGTGGCTTCAAGACAAGAGCGAATAGACTTTTAAAAATATAATCCATCTTTTTTTTGTACCATCAAAGACATCAATATTTATCATCAAATGTGATGGCCAGTTTTGTAGAAAAAAGTAGTGTAGTTAAATCAAGCACTATTTGGCATGTCAGGGTTTTTCAAGTCACGTTCAAAAATTGTTCCGCTTTAAATTATATGATATATATATAAGTGAATGTGACAGATCGTATAGAACGTATGTTACGAAAAGAGATAGCAAATATATAGAATTACACAAATTGGTGTAATTTGGGTGCCTCAGTTTCGGTGCGCTAGCGTCATATCTACATCTTATTTAAATGTAATATCATTGACTATTTTAACACTTTCTTACCTTAGGATGAAGTATTTTAGTTTAAATAGCCTATTTTACACAGACTAATCCTTTTTCTCAATAGGTTATGTTCCGTTGGAATTATGGATTTATCTGCTGTGCCTGATTAATAAGACATTCTGCAGGACTCAATCCTTTTGTTGTTACCCACTTTCGAATAAGTATTTGTGCCTCTTTGTTAGCAATTTTATCGATTACACTCTGGAGTAACTTAAGAGTTAACTTGGAAAGAGTGAATAGGTTTTTTTTTGCCTATTGCGTAGTTTCAATGTGTATTGTATAATGTTGTTGAAGGGGTTGAACGGCCTACCTAACGCGACCTTAAGTGATTGTTGCAGCCCATCAATATAACATCTGTGGGTTGCAGACGAGTATCTTACAAAACAAAAGACAAAAGAACTAGTACCTCAAAGGAACAAAAATTAAACTAGTTTTATTAAATTATTATTAAATTAACTAGATTTGTGTTTTATGCGAAAATTTGCCAAACGAGAGACGGGTCACCTGATGGTAAGTGAATACCGCCGCCCATGGACATCTGCTATACCCGGGGGTTACAGATGCGTTGACAACCTTTTGAAAATTGGGCCATGGGAAAATTAGAATTATTTGCTATTTTTTATTATTTACTTATTTAATTATTTACTTTGTGCTCCTTTGAGGTACTAGTTTCCAAAGTTTTGAATGTTTCATTAAAGTTTTGCCTGTAGTAGAGCCACGCATAGCTTCCCCGTTGTAGGTCCGTCCGTGTAAGTAACACGACCTCACAGAAGACCGGCGAGAAGTGGAAGTGTTATACTGCGTTTCGTCTGGTGAGTGTGGTAGCCGGGGCCGCACTTTGTTAAAATGTGCAACGCTACGAGTGTTACAAATGTCAATGAGTGGCGGCTATCACTTATCAGGTGAATCGTAAACAATTACGACCACTCCGTGGGCAGGGCGCCACATTCGTTCCACATGAATTAAATCACAACGTCGCGCGCTCGAAACCCAGAGGCGTTTATACACCAGTCTTCGTTTATTGGATGTGTTACACGCATAAATCATCCTGAACGTCCTTCCCGGCACGAGAACAATTTCAACCAAACAGTGTCTGTCTACTCTAATGACTTTTAATAGAAGGAAAAGTCGCCTTATATATATTCACAATCAATCAAATATTATTTTAACCGTAGTATTATCTCTCGCAGTAAATTTATGGGAGGACTTGGGTTTAGTATGAACACCAGATTTTGTTCGGAATCCCAACAATTTTCGTGCATATAAAACAGAGCCTCGTTACGTAAATGGTACATGATTAGGCGTTAACTAAGGCCAATCTGGCCATTTAGCCGGAGGCGTTCGTCCGTACGTCCAAAATTTATGTGCGCAAAACGGCCTTTAACTTTAGTGGACAGCTTTAAACAGTTATTATAAGATATTCAAGTATTACGTCCGTCTCGTAACGTATTCACAGGCTATAAGGCGAAAGTGAATGGGCTTTTTGAATCAAGCGCGTTTCCCATCTACGGCTTACGTTGCGATGGCAAACACGAAATCGCATGTTCCTTCAGAAAACTGCCCGTTCTTGTGTCAATATCAGAAACTGAAGCTTTGAAACATCTGAGAAATCTTTGTGTCCCAATCACTTGTGAACCATTCATCCATAATCAGTAAAAATGTGACGTTATATTCGAGAAACAAATTTGAATGTCAACAGTTTTACCCTTAAATCGCTTTATCGACACTAAAACACGCCAAACGTCCCAAGACTTACGCCCGGTTTCTGAAACACTGATCATCGTAGAAGTTAACTAATCAGCTATGCCAAAGGGATGGTTATATCATGGCTTTGAATTGATCATTCTGATAATTAAGAAGATCATTCTGATCAATTCAGAGAGGTTTAACCATCCTTTTGGCAACCTAAATAACATTTGGAAAGCCATTTGACAGCTAATTAGTTAACATCTACGATGATCAGTGTTTCAGAAACCGGGCGTAAATTTTATAACTTATCGCGCTTCCTATGCGAGCGATAATGGCAATGAAATAATAATAACAATTTGACAATGTATTATTTATTCGAACAACAACTACATTAAATGTTTTGTCTGTGTACTGATTCGGCTAAAAACTATACGTACTAATTGTAAGTTAAAAAAGTAAAGAAAATAATATGAATGAGTAATTATGGATGGATAGGCAATGATTAAATGGTTTTTTTTAAATTAATATTTGGATTTATTAGTAGGGGCAGAGAAGATGTGTTTTGGATCGCAACAAATCAAAATATATCATCTCCGCTATGTTAATCGACAATATAAATTACACTAACACCTAATATTTAACATAAAATTACGTTACATAAATTATTTTAGGTACAGTTTACATTATTTCCACCACGTCTGTTAAAGTTGAAACTCCGAGGGTGCGACGTTGTCTTAAGCTATATTATTATATATTCTTTAATAATTTTATAATTTTATTAATTAGCGGAATTTTCGACTATTTGTCCTAATACGTTTCATTAATATTTTTGGTCAGTGAAAATAATTTACATCATAACTAAAACGTCGGAATACAAATCACACAAACATCGGATAAAAATTGAAATTTTATCTACACGTTCGGCTCGTCTATTTAAATTACACGTGCTGCGTATGTACTTAAATCAAGTACAAATTATTTGGGGAACGCGCTAGCGTGCCCACGTCGGTGTTTTTTTTTTATTTCCGATAATTAAAAAAAATATATTCGATACATAACAATCAAGGCACCTATTTACATCGCGGCTGGTAACTAATGAGTGTACGATCCGTGTCCGCCGTTGCTGGCTCGGCGGACGTTCCCAAAAGCGAGGCACTCAGTGTTTGGGCGCGGCCGACGCAGGGGGGCGCCCTCACTGCGGCGACGCGTTGAGGTCGCGCAAGCGCAGGTGGTCGGCGAGCGGGTGGGGGCGCCCCTCCCGCGGCGGCCACTTCACCACGACGTCCGTGGCCGGCAGAGTGATGGGCGGCTCCACCAGCACAGGTAGACCGCCCTCCCGCTCTGGCAGCACGTGCCCAATTAGGGCGCCGACCCGCCGGTAGGCCAGCTGCGCGGAGTCGCTCTCTCGCCCCTCCTGAAGCACTCTGACGCCGGCGCCCATCCGCGTGACGAGGATGACCGGGGCGTCGGGGGCGACGTCGTTCAGCGCCCTCATGAGCACCGGCGCCGCAGTTTGGGGCGTCGCGCACGCCGAGATGCCGCTGACGCGGGCATTGAGGCTCTCCAGCACGGACACCAGCTCGTAGTGGCGGTCGTCGCAGAGAACCGGGTTGTCTGCAACGAAACAGGAGCCCGGTACACAAGTCGGATCTCGGTGGCGCCGGGAGTCGACGGCCCCGACGGTGGACGGAAATTTTCAATGAAAGGAAACATCGTCGCGATCTAGAAAATTTTATTGCACGGCCCTGACAAAAAGCATAGAAAAACACGGTTGAAAAGCTGAAGATCACTCGGTTCACATTCAATCAGTTTGCCAGTCGCAAAAGCATGACTTATTGTACTTAGCACAGAAGAAATTCGCTTAGCAAATATACAATCTATCCATGATACAAAACTAATAAATGATAAAATTTAGAGCATGGGCAAACTAAACAAATATAGCGAAACAAAATAAAAAAAGACGAGTCAAAACTGCCAAATGGCATGGCCTACTGACCTTGAAGATAAATCTTAAGCACACTTGGCACCCCGTTAATAGTGCACCGGGACTTGGAGACTAGTTCATAGTTTACGCTGCGAATTTTATTGTATGACAGATCCGCAATACAAAGCGAAGGCAGCCCATGGAAGTCCTTATCTAGCACGGTAATGTTGTTGTGGTGCGCGATCAGCTCCTCCAAGGACGGCAAGAACGTCTGAAATCGATACGCGTCCTTTAAATAATATATGCAAAAGCGTAAAATATATCCGCATCAGCACAGCATTCGTGATTCCATGAAATTCGCATCGGCGCGCGAGCTTTTGCCAATCTTTTCCGAGTCATTCACACAAACCTTTGATGTTTCCTCCAGTGACGTGATTTGGTTGTGTGACACGTCCAGCAGCTTCAAGTCCTCTAAGCCGATGAGATCGTCAGGGGATATTTGCTGTATTTGATTGTTGCTCAGGTTAAGCCTCAATAGCCCATGCAGTCCTATTAGTGCTCCGCCCAGATTAAGAATATGATTGTTGTCCAACCGCAATTCTAGTACCCTCGTCTCCACGTCTACTAGATTCTGTGAAATATGATGTGTAACGTCAGCAACAAAAATTAACCAGGCCAAAATATTTGAACTACATCGATGCTTTTTTATCATGTTGTACTGTAAAAAATTATTTATTTTTCAAGTGATGAGATTGGCTTGATTTCAAGCAGGACGAACTCGTAGCCTACTCACAATTTTTATGAAATCAATGTTCTGCTCAGAATAATTCAATAGTTTTTAAACTTAAAATAAGAAGAAGGTTCCGGAAAAAAAGGCGTTCGTAAATCAAGTAGATGACGGAAGAGAGTATTTCAAGCGCAGAAATTTATAGAAAAGGTCGACAAGCGTTCATATTCGCCTGATATTTAGTGATTACCGCCGCCGATAGACATCTACAATACCTACCTGACGGGTAGCGGATGTATTGCCAACTTATTAAAATGTGGGCTCCGGTTACCTCCCTTAACAAAAAAACGCAGAAGTTTACTACTTTACGCCGGTATTCTGAGGGGCAATGGTATTTTTTCGGACGAGCTTTCCCAATCCTGCAACAGTAGAGTTCGCTGCGTGGCCAGTAAGATGTTGTGCGTTTTCATGTATACGATGACAATAAAAGTGTCAGCAAATTGTACTTCAGGAAAGTTTTGTATAATTATGTTATTTATAAGTCGAATTTTTTTTTTCTAACTTGTAGTGCTTTTGCCGTAAATAAATATTATTATTATTATATTCGAACTATATTTTTTAATCCCAGCACATCGCTGGTGGTGTGAACCTATCACGGGCTATGCCAAGTGGGTCGGTTCATTATGTAGTGTTGTAGGTGTTTGAGTGGTGGATGTAAGGAATCGCCGGACTATTGAGCATGTGTCATTATTATTATTATAGGGGATATTCATTTGTTTTCTCGTCTGGTTGGGTTTATAAATAAAAATAAAAATATAGATATATATTGCATATATAAAATAAATATTATGGATAAAAATAAACATATATATATATATATATATAAATAAATATTTTATATAATACATATATAAATAGGACCCAACCAGACGGAAGCCCTCGGCAGGGGAGACCAAACGGCCGAGGGTTAGGGCGAAAGGGAGAGAAACCGGCGGACGATGCGGGCGGTATCGAGGAGCACCGCCTTCTGCATTTGAGCCTGGAGCGATCCGTCCCGGAGTCCCAGTCGCCTCAGATGTTTAGAGAGGCTGACTGGGATCAACCCATTCGCAGACACGACTATCGGGATAATTTCGGTCGGCACACCACCCCACATGTCGGTCACCTCGTGAGCCAGGTCCAGATACTTCGTCTTATTATTATTATTATTAATAACTGATTATACTATCAAAATACACAAGTTTAATGTTCGGCGAAAATGTGTAGATAACATAAACTTTATTTACCTCCATGTTCCCAGTGATGCGGTTTATCTTGTTATGCGACAGATCGATCACTGAGAGCCGTTTCAGCCCCTTGATTTCTTGCAGAGAGAACTCGGACAGCAGGTTGTGCGTGAGGTTCAGATAGCGTAACGACTTTAGGTGTCTCAAGGAGCCGTTGAGCGATTTCAGTTGATTGTAGGCAATGTCCAGGTCCGCCAGGATCTCGGCTTCGGCGAACTCGTCTTCCGACAGCTGCAACCGACACATTGAATGTTCTAACGTTAAAAACGACGTGCAGCTCGCAGTCTGCGGACCGTCCACTTACATATTCGATTTTGTTGAACGACAGCCCTATTCTCATGAGCCTCCTGGACTTTTGCAGGGCGCCGTCGAGCGATTTGATGTTGTTATCGTAGAAGTACAAAGACTCCAATGACGGCATCAGCTTCAGTTCCTTCGGCAAGCTTTGTAGTTCGTTGTGCGCCGCGTGAATCAACACTAGTCTCTTTGCTTTCTGTAATGGTACCGTTTATCGTATTTTCTTATGTAACTTTATATTAATGACGGTTATACGCTCCAAACCACTTAAATATGCAATGATCATACAATAATTATTTATTATTATGCTCGTTATTGAATATTTAAGCGACTTTCATATTATTTACTACATATACGAAAATATTACACTTTTCTTGTGTAAACATTTAACTTGAAGTTATCATCATTATACACCTGTAATACTTCTAAATTATACATACGTAAGATGTATCAACAGATTAATTCACTTACCACAGGTAATTCATTGTCTATGGTCTTTAAATTGTTAGCATTGATGAAAATCCACTCCAAATCATCCAGATCCCTCAAAGCTCCATTCAGGGTGCTCAGTTTGTTAATTCCAAGGTGAACGTGCTTAAGGGCTTTGGGTACTGCGTGCCTTTCTATTTTAGAGATCTGATTGTCGGCGACCACTAAATGTTCTACTTCTTGTATCTCCTAGGTGGAATAATAAGATATTTCACAGTCACATTATAAATTTATACTCACAAAATACAGTAGTCCAACAACAAAACTGTTTATTTATAAAGGTCGCTGGAGTATCCCACCAGAGTAAAAATTTGGCTATATCTTGAAACAAATTGCACGGACCGATCGTACAAAAACTGAACGAAGTTCGCTTTCATTACATACAAAGCACATTTCTGCTAAATTCCATATAACAAGTGTCTCCGAAGTTTTACATTTATTGTTATAAAATTTAAATCAATTGGGCTAAAATTGAAACCTAAAACTTTTGAGTTTTTAAGAGTATCCACAGACGCCTCTATCAGTTGAACCTCTCAATTGGAATGGGATTTTTTTTCTAAAGGTTAGGTGTAGTTTTCGCTTATATTATGTAAATCTAACTGGCCCCGAGTCCTCTTTCGATCAGTCAGTCTTAAATGTGGTAGCATATGGAGAACGGTAACATATATTTGAATTGGATTGGAATTTACATCGTATTGTCATTATATTTATGATGTGATTGACATTTATTATAAATAAAGAATTTTTAACGCAGGTATTTATGCATTTGATTACTCAACTACCTTCTCGGATGTTGCAAAATATCCATGGGCACCCTCCATCCCTCAGTTATTTCGATAGCACTCAGTAAAAAAGTAAAAAGTACCTATAACTCACTTTAAAGTCTTCCTCAGTTAGCTTGGATATCTTGTTCCTGCAGAGGTCCAAGGTCTTCACATGTGGCAGGTGACGTAGAACGTGCCGCGGCATCTCGGTCAGCAGGTTATCAGCCAGACTGAAGTAGTCTACCAAGTCAAGTTTCGCGAACACGCTCTCTTTCAGTTCACTGGAATCATACCAAGACACCTCATTGCAGCATTGTCATTCTTTTTGATTTTCTCAACAGACACCAGGGTACTTTTGTTTTCAAAATGTCTCTTGTAATGCAGAGAAAATATGCTGCTAGAGTGGTGACAGTTGGCATGACCATTCGTCTGAAAGCTCCTTGGATGGTCGATTGGGGGTAAGCGTTCAGTAAAGATTGAAGTTACTTAGACACGAGACTGATTGCCATCAATTCAAATCATATTTAATAATAATAAATAAAATTTCAAATTATATTTTTGGGAAGCAGCTCGGGTAATAAATACATCACAACTCAGCGGTATACTATTATACTGTGCTGATAATGACAAGGAAGATGATGTTTTATGGCTACCACCGATCGATTTGATTCGGGGTCTGTGGTTATTGATATTTTCTTGAAATTGTGATAGGATGCTGTCATCACAATTAATAGGATTTTAGTTGGAAGCAATGTCATCGTCAAAGTGGGATAAAAAACAGTGCAAAACAATCAAAGTGCAAAGCGTCAATTTGAATTACTTTTCATTAAGTGTATTATGGGTACTTTTATATAAATTATTACATTGATCCCAAGAGGTCGTAGCAGTATACGATAATAATTGTACAAACAAAAAACAAGCTCTCGCATCTAACTGTAATGGGATAGACAGGGATGGAAAGCTATCTGCATTATAATGCTCTCGGTTTTGTCAACTAGTTGAGAATTGTTGCCTTATGCCTATTTATCGTGCAAAATCCGGAAAACGGGAACACCATCCCCGAAATCTTTGTGTCCGACAGCGAAATATCTTTAGAAAGGCCGTTACGACCAATTCAAATAAACCTATTCTTACTTTGTATCGTCTTTCATCTTCATTTCTGGCTCATCTTCGGGCGTGACATGTTCAATATGCCATGACCTTGAACGAGAAACAATTTGAGTAGCGCGATAATAGCAGTTATCTTAATATTAATAGTTACAAGGGAAACTAGATAGCGGGAACAAACTTATTAGGAGTACGGTACTTGTCCTGTAAAGAAATTTAATTAATTTGCGTTGCGGTGTACAATAACAAAAAGTAAGAAAGAATTCAGCCCAATTTATTACTAATTTTGATGTTAATATTAAATAATTAATTGAGGAATAACAATACAGTTTGAAATAGGTACGATTTTTTTAATTATTTTTATATTGTATAATTAAATATTCTTGACGGATGTCAAAGTTTTTTTTTTTTTTTTTTTTTTTGTGAAAAGTTGTCAAACGAGCATACGGTTCACCTGATGTTAAGTGAATACCGCCGCCCATAGACATCTGATGCACCGGAGGGTTGCAGATGCGTTGACAACCTTTTGAAAATTGGGCTCCGGCCACCTCACTCACCAGAAGACCAACGCGAAAGTATTTGTCATACTTCCACTTATTTTCTGTGAGTGTGGTACTATTTTGCAATGCTAACCGTTAAAAGTTATCAAGCGAGCAAGCGGTTCACCTTATTTTGAGTGATATTTTTGTAATGTAAGATTTTTTTAATACAGCTTACGGTTCCAAAGGCACCTATGACCCGGAGCCCCTTAAACCGGGGCAGAACAGAATTAGTAACATCGGATCTCGAAACGGTTTATAGACGCCAATTACTTCTTTTTCTGGAGAAAAGTTTTCTGCCGTGATGACATTTGTATAATAGAAGATTATCAAAGGAAAGATCAATCTCTCAGCAAGGATTAATTAACTTGAGATGAACGTCGTATGCACTACGTAACTACGAAACCATAAATTCAATTTCAACTAACAAAATTCATACAGAGACTGCCAGTAAGTCCTATCAAGACAAACTCCATATTTATTCAGTTATAACTAAGCGCTGAGCACATCTCTCCAACTTATATTGCAGAATGGAAGTAAAGCTGTAAGTGTACACAAGTTTGCGCGAGTTTGTTTTAGTTGTGAAGCGCCCACTGGCGTATGGAAGTTTATTATCTATACAGATAAATAAAATTGGAGTTTGTGTTTGTAATATTAAAATAACCGCTTTTTACTAAATGCATATGGATGTATACACGGTACATATACCAAAATAACATTTTTTACAACTTTTGTCTGTCTGTCTGTCTGTTTGTTCTGGCTAATCTCTGAAACGGCTGGACCGATTTGGACGGGACTTTCACTGGCAGATAGCTGATGTAATAAGGAGTAACTTGGGCTACTTTTATTCTACAATTTTTTTATATTAAATTCCACGCGGACGATGTCGCGGACACAGCTAGTGTACAATAATTTTGATGGAATGAAATACTTTACGATGGTTCGTTGGTTAACTTCTTTAGAGCACCGCCATTGGTTACCTATACGTCGGCAACTGTCAAATATTCTAAACAGTTCTCGCGTGCATTTTTATATGTGGCACGTTTGGTCTTGTTCCTTTTTGTTTTTTGTTATTTTAATTGGACCGCGGCTTTAAAGGGCGCAACGAATCAACGACAGCGGTGTTTAAAGACGACCCAGAAATAAATTGAAGAACATAACGTTTTTGTGGTAGGGCCACGCAACAGCTCGGCCTGTTGCACTAATGGGCAGGTCCGTACGCGTAAGTACCACGACCTCACAAACGATTGGCGTAAGTGGAAGTGTCATACTCCTGCGTTTCGTCTGGTGAGTGAGAAAGCCGGGGCCAACTTTGTTAAAAGGCAACGCATCTGCAACCCCTGCAACTGGTGTTGCAAATGTCCATGGGCGGCGTTTATCACTCAACAGGGAGTAAACCGCCAGTTCGCTTACCACCTTCTCACATAAAAAAACAAACATTACATATATATATATATAATTTACGATAATATATATAATCTATTTTAATCGTATATTAATCTAAGCAGAAGGTCTCGCTATAGCATTTGCTTGGGTTTCGAATGAATTGTAAGAGTTAGATATCAATATTAGGCATCACAAGTTGGTAGCGAACGATAAAAGAATTCAATAAACAATGACTCATGTAAATATTACCTTTTTTTACACTTCATTAGGGACAATGTGTAAAAAAAGTAATAAGGTAAAAACATATTCAGAAAAGTATTTTTTACCGATATAATTGTTATTGCAGTAGTGTGTGCTGTGAAAAGTGCGCAGTGTTCGTTTAAATTAAAGGCATCATTGTGTTGATTTTACGTAAACAGGAAACGTTAAAGGCGGGAACAACGATTGGTATGAAACGAATTTCTTACTTCGGATAACGTAATAAATATGTAGTACTAGCTTTTCGCCCATATCTAGTAATATCTTTATTTAATATATTTATAATATTTTTCTATTATATACAGCGTGTCGTTACCACCGCGACAATAAATGAACACACATATAGAGGATAACTTTTTAAAATTGTATTAAACATTTACATTCTTCAAACATCAATATTTACCGAGTTATAAAATTTTCCAAAACAAACAATTTTAGAACACCCTTACGTATAAAACTGTAACGTAAAGTTCATTTTTAAAGGTCACAAAGCATATGAATGGGTTGAATGAATTTAAAAGAGACAAAACATACTGTTAGAAGGAGAAGCTTGTAATGCGACGTTGCTCTAGACTATCTGTGTACCAAATTTAATTTAAATTGGTTCAGTAATCTTGTCGTGAAAGCGAGACAATAGTGAGGCGACAGACAGAGTTACTTTCACATTTATAATATTAAAATAATATGTAGTATATAATGCGTAAGTGACTATGACGACTCCGTGGCGTAGTTGCCACAGCTAGGGCGTCGGTGGTCGTGTGTTCGATTTCCGCATGGGACAAATACTCTTATTTGTGTGGTCCACAGATAATTGTTTCGCATCCGGGTGTTTGTCCACGTGAAATTTATTTTTGTAAAACGTCCTTACAATACAGGATGATGTTATCCTAAATTAAGAGCAATGTTTTGTTTATAAAATAAAAAGAAAAACGAAGAACACTGTTTTGGCCTTTTCACCACACTACAAAAATATTTATATATGTATCGAGCATTTGTGGGAAAAAAAATACTCTGAGCACTAATTGCAGAGTAACGACCGAGTCAATAAGAATATTCTCTTCCTTATCCTCAAGTACAACAATAATAAACAATTGAACTAATAAGTTTAATTGCTTATTTTGTAATTATGAAATGGCATTACATTAATACTACACTCTTATATTTCTACTATTATGGATCTTTATGTTAGTTCAAATGTTTTAAAAAGATAAAATAAATATTTTCGGACACATTTTTAACACCACGTTCTCTAGTCCCAAACTAAGCAACGCTTGTACTATGGGTACTAGAAAACTGATAAAAATAGTTAAACATACTTTTTTTTGTAACTAAATACATATTATAGGTACGTATATAAACACCCAGACACTGCAAATACGCTATGTTGATCACATAATATTTTTTCAGTAGTGGGGATCGAACCCATACCCTTTGGCGCAAGTGGCAGGTTCACTACTCGCCACGCCTATCGTCGTTTGAAGCAAAGCTTTGATTCCTGTGAAAGTATGGACCTAAAAGAAAAGTAATATTCCACAAGATTAGAGAGACGAAATGTTATACAGAACATTTCGAACATTAGACCTTGAGTCATTCTGAAATTGTTCTCGCAAGAGGTCATCAAGTACATTATTATATACATAGTAGTAGTATATATAGTAGTGTTTTGACTACTAAGTGAGTGTAATGCTCCTATGTTGAATAAATGCATTTGATTTTGATTTTGATTTTATAGGCTGAACTTTCATTTAATCTCACTTAGGGTGCGGTAATCATAATCAATTACAGATTTGTAATGTGAGATTCGTATATGATTGAATTTTCACATAAACTTAATTTTATTGATGATTTAACTGACGGAGTGATAAAATTTCTTCTTTACGCGATTAATTATAAACCTACTGACGGTTATTTTGCCAATCATGGAATCAATACTATTATCTCTAGCCAGTTATTTACTACCGTCTCACGTGATGGTAAGTGAAGATATAATGTTATAATTGGAATTAAAATTGACATCAACCGCTGGCTGCATCTGAATAATAACTTTAAACGAAACGAAAAAGAAAATATACGCGCGAACACCGATAAAACACAGATGGCGTGTTGCAACCACAACGCGCATTCAACGGGGAATTATAAAACATTTTACTGCAAAACAAGTGGACAAGTACTAGATAACTCTTCCTTTCCATATCGCCGACGTTACTTTTTATTCAAACATAAATAAGCGATAATAAATTTAAAAAAAGACGTTCCAGACGGGTAAACACGATACTGGTACATGGTCGAAGTTCAGCAGACCTGAGTAAGACATTGGCTGATGAAAAGTCATATTTTGCACAAAAGTTATGCACTATGACAAATATAACTGCTTTATCTCTGACATGAGAGCGTGACATAACATTTATAAGTTTTTCTAAGAACGTTTTGTTCAGCACGATAACATTGTCAAGTTTTAAACGATACCACTTGTTGAATTATCTGTGCTTGTCGAAAACTTTTAGAATCATAACAACATGTTTTACGCTAATTATATATTTATACTAGCTGACCCGGCAAACGTTATTTTGCCATAATTTTTCCGAAATATAAAACTATAATGTTTGGGGTGGACCATCCATATCACTTGAGGTGTGAAAAATAGATTACGATCTCTTGTCAGACCTATCAAATCTAATATATAAAATTCTTGTGTTACAATTTTAGTGTTTATACTCCTCCGAAACGACTTGATTAAAAAACCGATTTTGATGAAATTTTATAAGTATATTCAGTAAGTATGAGAAAAGATTTATAAAATTATTTTCTATCCTAAAATTTATTTTTATGGAAAAACAACGTTTGCCGGATCGGCTAGTATACATATA